TTTGTGTAAAACTTATGAAATTTCACAGATCTTAGAACTGTTATTCACTGACAGAAGACCCGTGAAGAAGGTTATAGCATTTAGATCTTTTAGGAATGTTCCCACTTGCACGAGACTGCCTGCCAAGAATCAATGCTTAACTTTAAAAATTGATATACTTAAAATTATCCCCATAACATAGATGTCCCAATAAGAATTAACTACAATTTGGTTCATACTGCAATTAATTAACTTTTGGTGGGCCATTGGAGCTTCTGGTAGATTACACTGTCCTATTCTATTAGCATGTTTACAGTACGAGATCCAATAACCTACGAAAAATCATGTAACTATAAAGCTTTTGTAAATGAAAAAATGTGAGATCCCACCTCGATTGGAGAGAAGAATGAGTCTCAGCGAGGACGCTGAGCCCCGAAAGAGGGTGGATTGTGAGATCCCACATTGATTGGAGAGGGGAACAAAGCATTCTTTATAAGGGTGTGAAAACCTCTCTGTAGCAGACGTATTTTAAAAACCTTGAGGGGAAGCCCAAAAGGGAAAGCCCAAAGATGACAATATCTGCTAGCGGTGGGTTTGGACTGATACAAAAAAAAAAAAAAAATCTCGAGGAAATTGTAACGTCTCAATGCTTTAGTTTAGGAGATGTGCTATCCCCTGCTCTTTTTGTGGTTGCTGCTGATTGATCCAGTAGGCTGCTCATTTATGGTCAACATGCTTGTGATATTGGGAAAAATTCTATAGTTGGAAGTGCAACGTAAAGGTGAACCATATCTTTAGTATGAAACCATCTGGTTTGTAGAGGTGAAGACTTCGCAGAAGATAGTTTAGATCTTTGAGGCTTAAAAGTTAAAACCAAACTTTCTAAATGGTAAATGTCCGGAGTAAATTGGTGTAGAAGGACTTTTGAGACACAGACTCAAGTCTGGATTTTGTAATGGATCTTTTCCAATCAAATACCTTGGCCATTGAGATGGAACCCCATAGGTTAATCAAGAATGAAAGGATGGAGATAGAGAGGAAGTGCGATTTGAGCTATGAGAGGAATCTTGAAGGAAAATACTTTCCATATACAACATTTAAAGTTGTCTAGGTACTACACATCTCCCTATCAGCCACAAGTTCTTCCAAGAGTTAGAAGTGAAGGCTTTGTCCTCTAAATAGAGAAATTCTTCAGGAAAAAAGAAGCGGTTTCCTAACCAAAATGGTTAAACTGAATTCAAATAGAAGAATGAATAAGGTCGTGTTCTTTCCTTGATATCTAATTCCCTCCAAAAACTGACTGGAGACTATGAAAATCTATATGAGGGCAAGCCAGAAGATGGGGAATCCCCATTTGAAGCGGGCAAAAAGGCATTGAACACTGCTGAAATGATTCGGAATAGTAGTCTGTTGGTTAACTTTAATCCAAGATGGAGTTATATTTGTGAAAAGCTTTCTGATGATGACTTCATTGGAAGACAGGACACTTCGTACGTGTAGTCCACTAGACCTTTTGGGTGGGGTTTTCCTCTTCCTCCCTCTCTAGGCTGTCTTTTTTTTCGTTCTTTTGTTTATACTACAGTGTGAAAAGCAAAATGGAGATCTTAACTTCCTCTTTAATTCTGTCCTCTGGTGTGGAACCGTTGGTCTACACGCTAAAGGGTTGAGTTGGTGCCAACTTAGTTTGGCCTTCTCTTACTCTGCGAATGACCTCCAGTTACTCTCTTTCCAAGCCCACCCGCTAGCAGATATTGTCCTCTTTTGGGTTTCCCTCAAAGTTTTTAAAAAGCATTTGCTAGGAAGAGGTTTCCACATCCTTATAAAGAAGGATTCGTTCCCCTCTCCAACCGATGTGGGATCTCACAATCCACCACCCTTCGGGGTTCAATGTTCTCGTTGACACTCGTTCCTCCAATTGATGTGGGATCTCACAATCATGGCAAAGACGAAGGCTGAATACTATGAGTTAGGAATTATTGGTTCGGAAGGAGTAGGATAACTTTGGTGGGGGAGGCCGGATAGTTTAAATCAAAGAAATCTCTATTCTTGACACCCCACCATTTTTCTTCCAGATTCTCGTAATGGGACGCAAAACTTCAGAGTAGCATTTTTCTTCTTCCTCAGTGGTCTAAGATGTTATTCATCCAAGAACATGAACTTCCTGTTAGCAATGATATTGTAAATGGAAAATAACTCGTACAGCTGGCATTAAATGAGGAAAAGCCAGCTGTACCAATAAAAGGAAAATAAGTGTATATATATGAAATATGAAAAGACAGAAATATGAAAAGGCAGTGGGTAGGTCTGCTACCTACCAAAAAAAAAAAAAACTTTTTAACTCTTGTTGATGAGAGGCCAATAAATCGGAGGGAGGGGGTTGAACCAGGATGTTTTGAAATAAGAAGGAAAACAAAAAAGGGAACATTGGCAAGTGGCGAAGAAGCTGAAGAAGGAAAGAAAAGTCGCGGGAAGGAAGGAGCTGATCGTTGGATTTAACATCCATTGGACCAAATCGACTCGCTGTACCAAACCGCTCTGCCAGAACCGACCCGACCCGACCCAATTTGCAGATTCCGATCCACTACCCAAAACCAGACCCGAAGGTATGCATGACCCACGGTTCAGAGGCCAATGCTCGCAAATTTGTATTATTTTAACTCGAATCCTACTCAACTTCTATAGTTTTGATATATTTTCTCAATGTAGGACCTAATTGTAGATCTTTGAAGGAATTGGAAATTTGTTGAAGACCCGAAACAAGCTCGGGAAGTCTACAACAAGTAAGTAACCGCATGGAGCAAGTTCTAAGAAATGCTTATAGGAGTCGGTTTGGAGTATGGACAAATGATCTAGTATTATACTTACGAGTTTGGTTAACATTAGTTTCATGTATGGTACTTCGATATCGTGAGTGTTTATACCTTGATTATAGTTAGGGTTATATAGCTTCTGCTTGCATTATTGTGAATTTCTCTGATAGGCATTGGGTTTATGTGTTTTCTAGGAAGTCGAGATAGGTTGTTATTTCTTGATTTGCATGATAAGTATGATGTGAGCCTTGATACTTTGTTCTGCTTTGTTTTGGGGTGTGGATAGCCCATTATTGCTCATTTGTGAATTGGACCATTTTTCTATGTGCTAGATAGCGTGAATTATGAATTTCATAGATTATGAGTTACCGTCTTTTAGTTGTCACCTATTGTGGATATGGGTGGCCTTAGTAAGTATCCTACTGTAGTACCACGTCAGGGGTTCCTAGCGGGGAGAGCCATGGCCTTTTACTGATCTAAACCCGACCGGGGTGTAAGACAGGTAGTTTAATATGACCCATCCCGGCGGGGCGTAGTGACAGGTAGTTATTGATTCTCAGGAATAGGTAGTTAAGGCTAGACACCACTAGGGGAAAATCCACATATTTAAGCTCATTAGATAGTTAGGAATGGAAGAAAATCCATATCAATGAGAATCCATGGGGTCTTCTTTTGAGACCATAGTAGACTTTGCTAGAGATAGATTCGAGCATATAGCCAAAGTTTTCCGTGAATAGGATTAAGTCTGATAAGAGCCTACAAGAAGGTTGCTTACTGAGTATTTTTATACTCAACCCATGTTGTTGCTATTTTTCAGGTGTTAAGTAGACCAATGTCGGTGGCGGGAACGTGTGGAGCCGTGCGGCTATAGTGGAGACCCTTAGATCGAGTCCTCTTTGTCCATGTCGTTTTAATGTCATTTTGATGTTTATTTTGGGAAAACTTATGCTATTTTGTAACTGATTTTCTTTTGATGTGTTTCCGCGGATCCCGTTATGTTTTGGAATTATTTTGATTTTTAATCCTTATCAAATAGCTTTAATTTTATTGCGTCTCCCATTTTAGCAAATGAAAATGTTGTAAGGCTTTTTATCCTAGAGTCTACGTAGCGATTTGTGATTCGATGCATCGGAGAGCGGTCATTACATTCTTGATGACTACGTTCAAGTTGCTTCCAAGTTTAGAGCTGATACAGGGGTTGAATGTTTCCATACTGCCATGAACATTGTAAATGTGTAAATGTATCATCAATCCTTTTCTGTTACTTCTGCTACAGTTTGATTATCGTTTTGAATCCAACACAACATATATTTAGTTCGGTTTGACTTCGTGCATGTCTTGCGTTCTTGGTGATGAATATATTCTTTTTTCGGGAGTAAAACAGGCAAAATTTTGGAAAGTACAGGTTCTATGGCCATCAATTTCTGGCAGGATGATCTTTGAAGAGAGATTTGAGATTCTGAGCGGGTTTTGTTGGGTATTTTACCAAATTTTGGGATGCAGAGATCAATGTATTGTACTGGACCTGCTGATAGGTTAATTAGCTCAAATTATTCATTAACATTGTCGAATAGCCTCCTTACGAACCCTACGTGAACAATCTTTCCGTTGCTTGCACCTCTATCCTTCACAACTACACCGCCATTTCCATCCCCGTACTCCTTCACTGGCTTGACTCGACTCGATTCGCCTGACTAGACGACTATTTGATGGAGTATTTTGGGTGAGGTTTTGGTTGAAGTTTCCTAGGGTGATAATATCATATAAATAACCTGTAACGACCCTCACATTGGTTTGGGGAAGAAAACAAAACACTCTTTATAAGGGTATAGAAACTTTCTCCTAAGCCTTGAGGGGAAACTCGAAAGGGAAAGCTCAAAAACGACAATATCTGCTAAAGCCTAAAGAGGACAATATCTGCTAGAAGGCTGTTCCTCGAAGGGGGTAGACACGAGCCGGTGTGCCAGTAACGACGTTGGTCCCAAAGGGGGTAGATTTAGAGGGGTCCCACATTGATTGGAGAAAAGGATGAGTGTCAATGAGGACGTTGGGCCCCGAAGGATGGATTGTGATGTCTCACATTAGTTGGAGAGGAGAACCAGCGGTAGAAACTCCCGGTTTTAAAGCAAGAGCCAAATTATTGGAAAAACTTGGACAATATTGTTTTTATTTATTTAATTTTTAAATTTCAACTAAAGATTAAAAACTGTATCAACAAGAGAGCGGGACGTCCAAACGCAACCCTCGATTGAATCCCGCCTTCGCAACCTCTTCTTTCACTCTCCAATGACCAATTTTCTGTTCAAAGTTCCTCTGCGTCTCTTTGCTCAAGAACTCCAGAAGTTTGCAGGGAACGACCCCACAATTTCCCGCAAATTCCTCTCTTCTCTGTCTAAAATCTCTGAATCAACCAACAATCGGACGGTCGACTACCTTGTTCATACCCTTGGATTCTCCAAGGATTCAGCTCTCGCCGCTGCGAAGCGAATCCATCTCAAATCTACTGCAAATCCCGACTCTGTCATTGCTCTCTTCAAGGCCTATGGATTCACACTGTCTGATACTGCCAGTATCTTTTGCAGACATCCTAATCTCCTCCTTGCCGATCCGGACACAATACTCAAACCTAAGATTGAGTTTCTCTCTCGAAATGGTTTCACCGGTCATGTTCTCGTCGACGTAATCTCTAGGGATCCGTCAATTCTTAGAAGGAGTTTGAAGAAGCAGATTGTTCCGTGTATTGATTTTCTCAGAAATTTCTTTGGCTCTACTGATGGTATAGTCTCGCTCTTTTCTGCTAGACGTGGGACTTGGGTTTTGCGAAAGTTTTCAGAATCTGTGGCTCCCAATATCGAACTATTGAGAGCTAATGGCGTGCCCGATTCGAACATCGCGAAGATTTTTTGGGTGCGCCCGAGGACACTAGCAAGGGATGCGGAAGAGTTCAGTGACATCGTCGAGAAGACGAAGGAAGCTGGTTTTAATCCTTCGAGCCCGATGTTTACTTATGGGCTGTGTACGTATTTAGGGATGAAAAAGGACAAATGGTTATCGAAACTGCATATTTTTACAAGTTTTGGGTGGTCAGAGGAGCAGTTTCAATCTCTATTTCTCAAGCAGCCCACGATTATGAATTCGTCTGAAGAGAAAATAAAGAGGGCCTTGAATTTCTTTATGAACAAATTGGACTGGACGCACGAAGAAATTTCCAAGTACCCAAATCTACTTTATCTTAGTGTTGAAAAAAGGGTGGTTCCGAGGTCGTCTATTCTTCAGCACCTGATATCAAAAGGTTTTATCAAGAAGACAAGTTTTGGCAGGGCATTTTTGATGAGCGAGGATAAGTTTTTGGTCAAGTTTGTGATGCAGTATCTTTCTGAGGACCCACATCTACTTGAGATGTACCAGAAGAAGATGGCAGTTTTATAAACGCTTGGAGTGCAATTCAGGTAATTCGTCTCTTCTGTAAAAACTGTGCACTTCACTTGTGAGAAGATTGTAGGTTTGTGTAAAACTTATGAAATTTCACAGATCTTAGAACTGTTATTCACTGACAGAAGACCCGTGAAGAAGGTTATAGCATTTAGATCTTTTAGGAATGTTCCCACTTGCACGAGACTGCCTGCCAAGAATCAATGCTTAACTTTAAAAATTGATATACTTAAAATTATCCCCATAACATAGATGTCCCAATAAGAATTAACTACAATTTGGTTCATACTGCAATTAATTAACTTTTGGTGGGCCATTGGAGCTTCTGGTAGATTACACTGTCCTATTCTATTAGCATGTTTACAGTACGAGATCCAATAACCTACGAAAAATCATGTAACTATAAAGCTTTTGTAAATGAAAAAATGTGAGATCCCACCTCGATTGGAGAGAAGAATGAGTCTCAGCGAGGACGCTGAGCCCCGAAAGAGAGTGGATTGTGAGATCCCACATTGATTGGAGAGGGGAACAAAGCATTCTTTATAAGGGTGTGAAAACCTCTCTGTAGCAGACGTGTTTTAAAAACCTTGAGGGGAAGCCCAAAAAGGAAAGCCCAAAGATGACAATATCTGCTAGCGGTGGGTTTGGACTGATACAAAAAAAAAAAAAAAATCTCGAGGAAATTGTAACGTCTCAATGCTTTAGTTTAGGAGATGTGCTATCCCCTGCTCTTTTTGTGGTTGCTGCTGATTGATCCAGTAGGCTGCTCATTTATGGTTAACATGCTTGTGATATTGGGAAAAATTCTATAGTTGGAAGTGCAACGTAAAGGTGAACCATATCTTTAGTATGAAACCATCTGGTTTGTAGAGGTGAAGACTTCGCAGAAGATAGTTTAGATCTTTGAGGCTTAAAAGTTAAAACCAAACTTTCTAAATGGTAAATGTCCGGAGTAAATTGGTGTAGAAGGACTTTTGAGACACAGACTCAAGTCTGGATTTTGTAATGGATCTTTTCCAATCAAATACCTTGGCCATTGAGATGGAACCCCATAGGTTAATCAAGTATGAAAGGATGGAGATAGAGAGGAAGTGCGATTTGAGCTATGAGAGGAATCTTGAAGGAAAATACTTCCCATATACAACATTTAAAGTTGTCTAGGTACTACACATCTCCCTATCAGCCACAAGTTCTTCCAAGAGTTAGAAGTGAAGGCTTTGTCCTCTAAATAGAGAAATTCTTCAGGAAAAAAGAAGCGGTTTCCTAACCAAAATGGTTAAACTGAATTCAAATAGAAGAATGAATAAGGTCGTGTTCTTTCCTTGATATCTAATTCCCTCCAAAAACTGACTGGAGACTATGAAAATCTATATGAGGGCAAGCCAGAAGATGGGGAATCCCCATTTGAAGCGGGCAAAAAGGCATTGAACACTGCTGAAATGATTCGGAATAGTAGTCTGTTGGTTAACTTTAATCCAAGATGGAGTTATATTTGTGAAAAGCTTTCTGATGATGACTTCATTGGAAGACAGGACACTTCGTACGTGTAGTCCACTAGACCTTTTGGGTGGGGTTTTCCTCTTCCTCCCTCTCTAGGCTGTCTTTTTTTTCGTTCTTTTGTTTATACTACAGTGTGAAAAGCAAAATGGAGATCTTAACTTCCTCTTTAATTCTGTCCTCTGGTGTGGAACCGTTGGTCTACACGCTAAAGGGTTGAGTTGGTGCCAACTTAGTTTGGCCTTCTCTTACTCTGCGAATGACCTCCAGTTACTCTCTTTCCAAGCCCACCCGCTAGCAGATATTGTCCTCTTTTGGGTTTCCCTTAAAGATTTTAAAAAACATTTGCTAGGAAGAGGTTTCCACACTCTTATAAAGAAGGATTCGTTCCCCTCTCCAACCGATGTGGGATCTCACAACCCACCACCCTTCGAGGTTCAATGTTCTCGTTGACACTCGTTCCTCCAATTGATGTGGGATCTCACAATCATGGCAAAGACGAAGGCTGAATACTATGAGTTAGGAATTATTGGTTCGGAAGGAGTAGGATAACTTTGGTGGGGGAGGCCGGATAGTTTAAATCAAAGAAATCTCTATTCTTGACACCCCACCATTTTTCTTCCAGATTCTCGTAATGCGATGCAAAACTTCAGAGTAGCATTTTTCTTCTTCCTCAGTGGTCTAAGATGTTATTCATCCAAGAACATGAACTTCCTGTTAGCAATGATATTGTAAATGGGAACATTCTTGGTGACTACGTTCAAGTTGCTTCCAAGTTTAGAGCTGATACAGGGGTTGAATGTTTCCATACTGCCATGAATGAACGTTGTAAATGTGTAAATGCATTATTAATCCTTTTCTGTTACTTCTGCTGCAGTTTGATTATCGTTTTGAATCCAACATAACATATGTTTAGTTCGGTTCGACTTCGCGCATGTCTTGCGTTCTTGGTGATGAATATATTCTTTTTTCAGGAGCAAAACAGGCAAAATTTTGGAAAGTCCAGGTTTTATGGACATCAATTTCTGGCAGGATGGTCTTTGAAGAGAGATTTGAGATTCTGAGCGGGTCTTGTTGGGTATTTTACCAAATTTTGGGATGCAGAGATGAATGTATTGTAATGGAGCTGATGGTTAATGTACCGATTCAGATTTTCCATTTTTGCCTTTTATTTTTATTTCTATAAATGACAAGATACTATATTATGCATCTATCCTTTCCGGAAAAGGCGCAATTTTCAACGAGTAAGTTATTTCGCTTATGGAAAATGTAACGAAGTTTCTAGAATAAAATAAAAATAAAATAAATAATTAAATGTAATCTACTTAGAAGACAGAGATTTCTTGCGAGACTTTTAGTACTTAATAGAAACATTCATATTTCTCAAACCTTTCCTTCTCCTAAAACCATGACTTGAGATTATTTTTATATTCTTATGCCCAACCTTTTATATTTCTTGAAAACAATTTTCTCTTCAAACTTTTCTTCGGAATGCTGGGTTGCTCTCCAAAGGAAGGAAGAATCGAATGGAAGTAAGGTATTGATGTCGGTATCATTTTGTCAAAGAAGGTTGACCGTTGGAAATCGGTGTTGAGGACGTTGTGGGATCATCGGCGCGTCACCGAAATCAGGTAGGCGGAAACTAGGGTTTCGTGGCTTGTCGGGTAAGGGAGGCAAGGTTTTTGGAATCGGGTCGAGCTGCAAACGCACATCCAACAGCTCTGGCAGCTTCGCACGCATAGTGCAGCTCGGCTCGCACGTGTACGAAATCGGCTTGGTTCCGTCAATTCCCGCGGCTCGGCTTGGCGGATTAGTTGGTCGGCTCGGAAGCTCAGCTTGGTGGCTCGGTATCACTAGAATATATCGATTCCAAGGTTTTCGACCCTTCCGAAGCCGTTTATGCCCTTAGTTTTACCATCCGAGGTCAGTATGATTCATAAACATTAAAGACAGATTAGATCGGGAGTTTATTTTGATAAATAGCATGAGATTTAGCTAGGGTATGTTATGAAAGGCTATTAAGTTTTGATGTGATTATTATATGACGTATTTAACCGTTGGGATTAGCTCGTTGTGAGTGACTTCAACCAAGGCCATCGAGGTAAGTGACCTTATTGTTGGAGTTAGTTTACTACGTGTTGTATGATGGTGCGGTACCTGTGGCCCCTGCATGCACCATGTTTTATTATGTGATATGACTATATGATGTATGAATTATGTGACTGTTTATGCCATGAAACATAATGGGTTATGTTGACGGTTGACTGTTTATGTTATGTGAAGTTATGAATGATATGTTAGTAATATATGCCATGAAAATGTTGATCGATGCCATGGATACACATAGTATTATCAAGTCATATCATGAGATGTTTATGCAACTGGGATGTATTTTCATGTTATGTAATATCACATGCAATGTATGTCATGTGATGTAAGAAAGGTAAATGCGATTGTTAGCACTGCTTATGTAATGCCATGTTAGATATGTTAAGGGACCTCATGCATATATGTATGTCACGTGCATCACGATTCTTCCCCGTTACAAAAAAATGAAATATGTTCACCATGATATCATGCGGGCCCTTTTCTGTTCTGTGGTGTCCGGCGATGTGTAACACGTTGTGCCTGACCAAGTCAGGCCCAGGGGGTATGTTTACGAGCCCGCCTAGTGGGTCCATGTACACGTACATGGGCCGTGTGTGAAGGAGTACCACACTCCTAACCCTACCCAGAATAGAAAAGAGCCCAAGACGATGTAAAGTTTATGAAAAGTTAGGTCCTGCTCATATGTTGCATGTGTTTGCATTCCTAACTCCAATAGTGGGATGACTTACTAAGTATTTCATAAAATACTCAAGTGCTATCTACATTTTTCAGGTAAAGGCAACGCGCCAATGTACGGTTGATGGCCGAGCAGAGGACACCATGGAAGTTGGAGAGTTTGATGTTTTAAGTTATAGCATTAAGTATTGTTTTATTTAGATTTATTTTGAATTCAATTATTGAAGGTTTGTTTTCGGACATGTAGCATGATGTCGTATCTCTGGTAGCACCGGTACCGGTCACATGCTTCAAAGTGCAAAAGGTCGGAGGGAATTGAAACAAGAAGAAGATTGGAATTCGATCCGCGAAATCTTCAAAACCTCTTCTCACTAGCTATAGCTCTTGCGCGCTTCCCAAATCGATCTAGACGAGACTCGAGACGGATAGATATGTTCGACCGAAAAAAGAAGAGTTTTTTATATATGGGTTGGAGTCGATTAGCTAAAATAAAAAAAAATGGGAAGAAATTAACTAAATTTTTGTTTATTTTAATCGTAAAAATTTGTGATATATTAGTTATAAATTGAATATGTTTATAATATATTAAATATAAAATTGAAAGCATTTTTTAAGTTAGTTTAGTGATAAAGGAGATGTATCTTAAAAATTTAGTGTCTAATATTGTAATTTAATATTTATTAAAATATTAATTCATTCATAAATTGATTCCTAAAAAAAGAAAAAAAAAATAATAAAGTTGGCCCACGGAATCAAAGCGTTTGAAAGAACGACTGCTTCAAAGTTCAAACTAACCCCGTCTTCAAATTTAGCCCTAATTCTCGCATTTCCATCCAACAGAACATCCCCCACTCCTCATTTTACCATTTTACCCTTACCCGTTGATCTCAACGGTCATCTTCTCCTCCACATATAATCTCCCTTGGTTCTTAACCCACCGGATTCTCCAGCAAACTCCCCTCTGGACCCACTGGTTTTCTTTTCACCATTAATCCTAATCTCTCCCCTGTTTTGACCCGACCCCACCGCTAGATCCGCTTCAGCCGCAACCTTCCATCTCCATCTCTGTTTCTCTCTTTCTTGCAACCTTCCAACCCTAACCATCAATCGTCATTCATCACCACTCTTCAATGGAGTTTCAGATTGCCTTCAGCCGTCCGTTCTGAGAGAAAAATGGACAATGTCGGAATCTCTCCCCTGCTGTAGGGATGTGCAGGATTTTGCATTCGCATTCGCATTCATCTCTGAGTTTTGATCCCGCTGAACGATAGTTTATATTCATATATTTATATGCATGTCTGATTTGGTGGCCCGCACCGGACGGCAGCAGCAGCGGTACGATGCCGGTTGTCGCCTTATTGCTGGGTATATTCCCACCATTATTTTTTAAGATTCGTAGGCTCCAGCTATTTAATGTTTGTATGTTTGTGTCCTTCCTTGCTTCCAAGTCGTTTTCGTTGAGCATCTTTGTCAAGGTTTTGTGAAAAATGAGGCCGCCATTGTCATTTTTTTTTTACTACGTAATAGATATTGACTGCTTTGGTTTTCGCTGTTGTTCTTGTTTCGGTATTGGTGTTTCTTTGATTCGTTGGTCGGTTCTTTAATCGATTAGGAGTATCGAGAAGTTTGGATTTGGATGGGGGAATTTCTTGTATATAACGTGTAACACTGGGAATTTGATTGGTTGATTTGGTGAGGAATTCTAATTTCTACGTTTCTGAGACAGATGCGCATCAAACAATTTCGAAATTGGCAGTAAGTTGTTTTATTGTATGGATTCTTTGACTTTTCTTTATGGACGCATTGTGTTTCAGTGAGATCAAGTGGGATCATTTAGGTCATGAGATCAATATAGGAACTCTATGGTTGTTTTCGGTTTAAACTACATTCCTACAGGTCTGCATAAATTTGAGTTCTTCTCTATTTTTAATGATGGTGTATCGAGAACCTGAGTGCCGAAGTTCTGCCAGATTATGGATTTGTGGTTGGGTATCCAGAATGTTAAATCTGTCACGAAAGTACTTTGGTGACATATTGCATTAATGAATCCGTCTTAGTAGGATTTAAGTCGTGAATTAGTTTCTCCTTTTGCTTTGCTCATCTTACCTCATTCCCCTCGGTAGCAGCTTGATCGATAGGGAGAGAGGGTCGATCTTTCTTTTCTTACTCAGGGTGTTTCATCTCTGATTTTTGCAGCGTGGTTAATTGTGGTGAATGGATGGACAGATTATGGTTGGGTTGGCACCATCTGGAAAGATGATGTCCTTTTGTCTGTCATAACTAGCAGCGATAGATTATGATTGCAGATTCATGATTTTTGATATTAGTGCATTGGCTTTGGCTGAAGTCTATCACATCCTTGATGACTTGATGGAAAGTTTGCTATCTATATTCCTTCCATAAAGCTATCGATAATTTCTTCCTTTCTGCTTTTATACTTCTTTCAATGACTTCTTGTAGTTAATAAGAGATTGCTCATTTTAAATTTATCTCAATGGCCCTTCTGCATTGCATTTTATACATCTGGGCTGCTCGTGTTTTATGTTTTATTTAAACTAATGAAATGCAGTTGAATCAAATGATTGATCAATCAGTGTGGTGGGAGATATAGTTTATGAATGCCTTTCTGTTCTTTTGTAGGTGTATTCCTTTTAGGTATAGAAGTTCCGAAGGGAGTAGTGATGAAGTTTCGGATAAAGTGGTGGAGGTGCTTATGATTGACACGCCTAGTGGCCCGGGCCTTTTGTTCCCGAAGGTATGAAGTTGTTTCCCTCTCATTTCTCCATTTTAAATTTTTGAGAGCTTTGAATTTCTGCCTTTCTGCTTCTCTCATATGAAGAAAGTATATGAGCTTATTTTATCTCTAACATCAGCATTTTCTCTAATAGGGAGGCTGGGAGAATGACGAGACGGTGGAGGAAGCTGCTGTAAGGGAAGCTATCGAAGAGGCCGGAGTTCGTGGTGAACTTATGGTGAAATAGTACTTTAAATGCTTGAATTGTTTTTTCTCATGTCCTTTTGTGAAAATTGAAGGTTGTTTCATCTAACGTATGTATATGATTGGAAGAGGAGTGCTCAGGAGTGTTGAGGGGCGTATCATTTTTAGTAGCTTTCTGTAGGACTACGCAATGAAGTGGACGGTCCAG